GCATGATGTGGCCTTTTATTTAATGGTAATATTACTTTATCTGCATGTACAGCTTTTAATTGTTCAACAGAAATAAGAGTAGACAAAAGGTGCGTGCTTAATCAAGTTTAGTGCACTTATACGATATGTTTCTTTATTTAATCAGATAAAAAAAACAATTGAGATCAAGATATCATTTACAAGGGTGACCAGGCTAGGATGTCAGCAACACACGACTTATGAAAAAAAAATAATAATAAGTAAAAAGTAAAGATTATATTAAAAATACAGTTTAGTTATTCAGCCATATCACATTATAATATGTTAAAAACACATACATTGGAAATGGACTGTTGATGTTTGTTAAAAAGATGGAGATAAAGAGCGAAAAGATTTAATTGGGATGAGCTCAGACATTTTCTGTTCAGACTGAAGAGTATTCCAGGATAAAGGCTCGCCTCCCCATTTCAGTTCGAACCCGTGAAACAGTCAAATGATAAGATTCACTTGAACGTAGGGCATACTGGCTTTTTGACCTATAAAAAAAGGGAACTTAGGTAAAAAGACGCCAGACCCAGAAAAGCCTTGTAGACCATAGTCATCCAGGGGGTGTACCTTCTTACATTCAAAGAAGGCCACTCAGCTTTGGCATACAGTTCACAATAGTGAGTTAGTCTACGACAGGCTGCAACAAACCTCAAAGCACTGTGATAAACAGAGTCAAGGCTGAGGACATTTGGTTGAGGCATTCATATATAAAACATCACCATTATCAAGCAATGACACCAAGTATTTAAGAGCTTTAAGAGAAAAGCAGGACCCCTTTTTTTATATTAAGACCCAATCTTACCTCTTAAGCCTAAATACTTTTTTTTAACAAGAGTAAGCATTAAGTATTAATACTTTTTTTTTAGTTATCAGTACGTTCAAGTTATGAGGTCCTAAAAGGAACTGCTTAGGAGTAACGTAACTAAAACGAGCTCAAGAGATATATTGCGGGGAGGTTATTATATATGTTTTATTATTAGTTAATATTAATATTATATTATGTTAGTTATGTTATATATGGCAATATGTATGGTAACAGGTTGTCAAATGATGAATTGCGCTGGCAGACATTAGATCCTCCCATTATAAACAATGAAGAAGACTGCAGCACGAGCGTGAGGTGCTTTATGGCTAATGCAAGACATCTGATGAAAAATGTAATCACGAACATGACAGACAGGACATGTGTACGTTTGTAAAGATCTAACCTGAAACTGGTCGATTGCTTTGAGAGGTTCAGTACAGTTAGTCAGAGTTTCTTTCAGATCCTCTCCATTGGATATTCCCAGCTCCGGTAACCCGGCGAACATTTTCACACGCTCTCTAAGTGAAGGCTCCACTTTCAAAACGATATCAAATTACATGCATTGACAGCAGAAATAACATAAATGTTGGCTAGATGTGCATTGCTCGTTATCTGTAAATCGCACACTTCCTGGCCGTGCAGCCTCGTCAACAGACTCTTGTTTCTGATACATCGTCAAAGGTTCCGGTTCAGAAAGGTTCCTAGTTGCGCTTTCAAGATCAAAGCCTCTGTGTGGACTACTTCCTGTGTGTAAAGGCAATTGCAGGTGCTGGTCGATCTGAGACAATGGAATCGAAAAGAAATGACATTCTAACAGAAATTATGATCAAGTTTAATAATCTAACACATATGGGAGTAATAGTTCATTTAATGTGGGTTCCAGCGCATGTCGGTATTCAGGGCAATGAGGAGGCAGATAAAATAGCTAAAGAATCTCTACAACAAAATAAACCAATTAGACACATTTCACTAAGCAGAGCAGAAGGAAAAAGCCTAATCTTAGAAGCTTGTAATAGGAAATGGCAGAAAGTTTGGGAGTCCAATAACACAGGTAGACATTATCATAAGATCCAAAAAACAGTAAAGAAAAGCAAAATATCAAATAATCTTAGTCGAAGAGAACAAGTTATTTTAACACGTTTAAGAACAGGACATACATTTTTAAATCAAACATTACACATAATGGGGAAACATGAGACAGGTTTATGCAACACATGTCTAACAGATGAGACAGTAGAACATGTTTTAAAAAGGTGCAAAGCATATAAAAATGAGAGAAGAAACCTTAAAGAGGAATTGCAAAGTTTAGGATACCAGGATTTCACAATAAAGGGTTTATTAAAAGATGGTTTAGATTCAGGAAGACAAATAAAGGCAGTAATAAGGTTCATTAAAAATAGTGGATTATACAATAGAATTTAGGAAACCAGTTCAACCTCTTCACACTCCATCACAGTAGGTGGCGATATGCACCTTTAAAGTTGGTTCGCAACTCGCCATAAAACGAAGAAGAAGAAGGTTGATCTGAGAGTGCATGGTGAGTATATTCTACATTCTACTTTTTTATGTTCATTTTTTATTTCGAAAAAACAAACACTGTTTCAGTCCAAAAAGTTACATATCATTATTTTTGTTGTTGTTGTTTTTACAAGAGAAGAGAAAGAAAATAATAATAATTATAATAATAATACAACTAAAAATTAATAATAATAATAAGAAGGGGAAAAGACAAATGAAAACAAGAGTAATAAAAGGGTACAGAAAATTACAACTAGGTGAATGCAGACATTCAACAATCACAATTAAATGTTCAGATACGTTGTCAATGTTGAAAGTCAATTTTTACATTTAAAAAGTATGAGATAATAATAGTGGAAAACAAACACAAATGTAATTACTACAACATAAATGAACTAAAAAATAAGAAGAGTGCATTTATTAAATGGAAGGCAATATGCTAAGAGAGTTCAAGTAAGTTATAAAACATTGCTACTATTTAAAGAAATTTGTTTTCCCAGAGCATCTAACCTTTTCCAACTTTAGAAAAAAATGCATGGTATCCACAAGCCATTAGGATGTAGTTGGAGGCTTATTGAATTCCAGTGAAGTAGAATACGACGCCTAGCTAACAATAGGGTAAAGGTCAAAATATCAAGTTGTTTAGAATTAAACTGGGACCAAATCTTTGGAACCCCCAAAATGGCAACATTAGGGGATGGGTCTATAATCACCTGCAACACCTTAGACATAATTGTAAAATAGTGCATCCAGTAATTCTGTAACATAGAGCACATAAAGAACAAGTGACTTAAATTACGGTCTGACATAATTTAGTCAACATTTTCATAAATACATACAACCTCCATTTTAGAAAAGTCTGAACTTAAGCTAGTTTGTTTGTAGTGTACTGTCTTGTAACACCACATAATCATTTAAATTTTCTAATCATTTTTTTCTAAATGTTGTTTTATCAGCGTAAATGCTTAATTTAGTCCTACTGCTTATTATGAGTTTAATTTTTTTTCTCAAACTTTTATATTACCTTTTGAGGTGATGCGATGGCGGAGTGAATAGCACGTTTGCATCATAGCAAGAAGGTTGCTGGTTCGAGCCTCGGCAGGGTGAGTTGGCATTTCTTTGTGGAGTTTTCATGTTCTCCCCATGTTGGCGTGGGTTTCCTCCGGGTGCTCCGGTTTCCCCCACAGTCCAAAGACATGCGGTACAGGTGAATTGGGTATGCTAAAATTGACCATAGTGTTTGAGTGTGTGTGAATGTGTGTATGGATGTTTCCCAGTGACGGGTTGCGGCTGGAAGGGCATCCGCTGCGTAAAAATTATGCTGGATAAGTTGGCGGGTCATTCTGCTGTGGTGACCCCTGATTAATAGGAGGACTAAGCCGAAAAGAAAACAAATGAATGAATGTTATACCTTTTATGCAATATGAAGTCTGTGGTGTTAAATTTTGTCTGTGGTGTAACTTTAGAATGTCTGAAATTTCTTCATTCAATCTTATATTTCAATGTTTTTAGACTTTAAATTGGTTTTGATATTTATAAGTCTATAAAGGCGCCATTTCCACTTTCTTTTGTATGTATATCTAAATTAAAGGGGGAAAAAGAAAGACAAAGAAAATGTTCTCCTTTGGCAAAAATAGAAAGCCCCCAGTGAGTATTCATTTATTCATTAATTTTCTTTTCGAATTAGTCCCTTTATTAATCAGGGGTCACCACAGCGGAATGAACAGCCAACCTATCCAGGATATGTTTTTATGCAGCGGATGCCCTTCTAGCTGCAACCCATCCCCAGGTAACACCCATACACTCTCATTCACACACATACACTACAGACAATTTAACTTATTTAATTCACCTATAGCACGTGTATTTGGACTTATAGGGGAACCCGGAGTAAACCCACATGAACACGGGAAGAACATGCAAACTCCACACAGAAATGCCAACTGGCCCAGCAGAGGCTCGAACCAGAGACCTTTACCATGACGCCCCATGGTGAGCAATAGATTTTTTTTTCATTTAAATATAATGACCAAAGAAGCTGAACTGTTACCGTTATATTTCAATGAGTTAGTTACCTTAAGTTGCATATGTTTACCAAAATACTACTTCAAATATTGGTAACACAATAAACATAAGTGGTTATGTCATCAGTGTTTGATAAAAAATATTGTAAAAAGCTAAATCATAATGGAGGTATCATATTATACAAAGTTTAAATGCGATACATCAAATGGAAATCAAGACTTTTAGAATATTTTTTTACATATTGTGCCTCTCATTTGTAAGTTAAATGAACACCATAATTTCATAGATTGATAGAGGGAGAACTGAACAGTAGCCTACTTGCTATTTTTTGGTTAAGTTTGCACTTTAGGTATATATACATTTTTAGGTGTGTGTATATATTACAAGATAAAACATTAAATACAACTAAATACATGTTACTTTTTCCCAAAAACAAAGGTTTTTGTTAATTCAAGCAGGTCATGAACTGCTAAATTTTCATTAAATCTCTCTTACATTTGGACCATTACAAAACAATAAATCTTCTTCTGAGCTGATCAAGGATCAGAAACTAAGATGTTTACACAACAGTGCATGGCTATAAAAAGAAAGATTTCTTTGTAACAAATTTCCACACTACCCAAAGTTCAATAAATAGCTAAGCACACCATATACGATTAGTGTGTTGATCATTTATTTATGACTTCATGTCTTTACACATTTACATACTTGTAAATGTTAAGTGCATTTCATATTTTGAAGTGTTAAAAAAATAATTATCATGATGAACCACACTGATCTGACGCAAACACACATAAATAATTAATGTTTTGTCAGTACAAACCTTTTACACCTCTACATATAAAGCTTATAATTTCACAATCACAGTTAAACTCTTCAGTTCTCAATGATCAAATGTAACAACAAAGTTTAGTGCCATTCTTTTGGTAGCTTCGCAACAGAAAAAATAAAGATGCAATAACAAGGACTGAGAAAAGAAGAACGGCGGCACGCCACACATCTGGACGCAGTGCTTTCCTCACCATCGCATTTTCAGCATCCAGCAAGTTACTTAAGCTTAGCATGTAGCCAAGAGACCAGCCGACAGAGGTGTCTTCAACCTGCAAACCAACACAATGTGTCGACGTTACTGACAGGATATGTCTTAAAACTGCATAGTGGTCTTTCTGAGTGTCTTACTTTTTCCTGAAAGGAGATGTGTGGAAAGGAGAGATCACTGAAACCATATCCATTAATCAGGAGCACCCGCATAAGCACAGAGTCTGCACAGTAGTCTCTCAAATGATCCCCCTCAGTGGGAAACTTGTTCTGCATCTGAGAAAGAAAGAGGGAGTTAGACGGTATTGCCTAAAGGGAATATTTAAAGTTTAATCACATTTGAGTTTAATTAAGGGCTGGTCTAAAGAATTTTTAGCTCTGACAAGCTTGGTAATACACTTGGTAGTGTTGGGTTGAATTTGGGACTTGTGGAGCTGCGCATTGATGGACTTTCAGCAGTGAAAATTAAACCACACTGAACTGAACCAAACTGAACTTCAACTCTAAAAATTGGACTGATACAGTATTAATTTACAACAAATTCTGTGTTGAGCTGCTTTAACAGTCTACATTGTAAAAGAGCTATAGAAATAAAGGTTAAGTGAACTGAATTTCATAAACAGCTAAGATGAAATACTGCATTAGTTTATAATGATTCAATCAGACTATACAAAGTATTCAGAAGAGCTGTATCTACAGTATAGAGAAGAAAATGCAACCTTAGATTGACAAGTGAGTCGAAAGTGATGGAATAATTGTTTTCAGTTTACTCATCCTGCAGCCATCCAAAATGAAGATAAATTTTTCTTTAGTGTAACATAAAAAGGTTTTAGCTGAAACTATAGCAAGTAAACCGCTAATTTTAAAGGCAGGGTACTTAGTAACTAAGCTGGTGACTATTTTCAGGCTTTCAAGCAGGGAAACTTTGAATTTTCCATCATGATGTAAATATAGATTAGTCAATCTTTAAACAGGTTATTTATCCTACCTCTTTTTTTATTTTGAGCAAGCTGCTAATGGTCTAATCCGATTCAATGATTTATTTATTGTTTCTGGCTGGTGAATGAGAGATGAGGTTATCTCCCTCATCATTTCAAAGTTCTGTTTTTGTTTTTTGCTGGAGGCATGGCTTTTTAAACTGATAATCTAAGGCAGACAGGGTCTTTAGCTTTAGCAACAGTTTTAGCCTCTCTAAAATCAGCTACCTTACCTTTAAGAGTCAACAAATGGAAGCTTGTATTGAATAACTAATTAATACTCAGTTTCTTGTAGGGACCAATCAACGTGCTTCATAAAATCTCAATGATTGTAGCCAGTGTTTTGCATGATTTGTGACTCCCAAAGTGCTAGTAGTTCACCAAGAAGCAGCTACTTCTACTTTAATTGTTTACTGAAGAAAAACGGGGACAGACTAGTCTTCGGTCCAGCTTTCCAGCCTCCGGCGCCTAGACTGCAGCTCTGCACAAGACGTTTGGCCAGAGGAGAAATGATCGTGCCCAACTGAGCCTGGTTTCTCTCAAGGTTTTTTAATTCTTTACTTTCGCCAATTAGTGAAGTTTTTTTCTCACCACCGCCACTGGCTTTCATGGTTTAGGATCAATAGAGCTACGCATCGATGGATTTGCTCTTCAGAGTCTTTGGACTCTCAGTAGTGACTATTAAACCACACTGAACTGAGCGAAACTGAACTGAACTTAAACGCTAAAAACTGAACTGACACTGTTTCAGTTTAGTATGATCTTCAATGTGAAGCTGCTTTGACACAATGTACATTGTAAAAGCGCTATACAAATAAAGGCAAATTTAATTGAATTTAAAAAAACACCTGCATCTCAGATGACCTTGTGTACATGCACTCTCAGAAATAAAGGTACACAAATTGTCAATGGGGTGGTACCTTTTCAAAAGGTACAGTTTTGACAATTAGTACCTTTAGGGTACACTTTTTGTGCCTTTAAGGTTTACTTTTGTACTTTTATGGTACACATTTGTACTTTTTAGGTATTAATATGTGCCTTTAAGGACCTGTTAGAAACAAAAAACTACCTTTTAAAAAGGTACCACCTCAGTGACAGGTTTTGTACCTTTATTTCTGAGAGTGTGTAGATAATTCTTTTGGTGAACTGTTCCTTTAAAATAAATACATTCTCTCAATGGGCTGGTACCTGCTGAAAACTCATGTTGCAGACAAACTGGGCAGCGTGCTCTAAATCCGCTGGAGACGTGATGGTGATGCCTGCAGCTTTTTGCAAGAATTGATGAATGTAATAAAATGCAGAAAATGCCTGTGCCAAAGAAAGAGATATACTGTATTAGCTATATATATGCGAATAATAGTTTGTTCAAAGTTTAGTTTATCACAAAGTCTTTTGGGATCTAAGGGGTTCTTTTTTTCCCTCTCATCAAGAGATTCAGATTGTAAGGTGTTCAACATTTCCAAACCAGACGGTTTGAGAAACAGACTACAATGCTTACAAGGTATTTTTTTGATTCCCCAAAAGGAGCAGACTATGTATAGTTATTTGGTTGGCAATCAGACTATTGCTCAATTTTAAAACTATTTGTTCAAGAGTCAAAGCTTCACTGTATCTTACTGATTCACTAAAATGAACAACTCATACTCTATGAATAAATTATTCAGGAGTCAGATCACGCTAATTGTGATGTACTATATGTCACTGATTCACTAAAAAGAAACAACTCCTAAGTTTTTTCTAATTTATTTCAAGAATAATATTTTACACAGTAGCAAGGCTTACCATGAAGTTTCCAGTAATGTTGGGCTGAAAGACTCCGTCGAAAGAGCATTTGGAATAAGAGCAGCTGCTAAAGGAGAAGAGTTGAGAAACATTTCCTAGACACTGATTGTAGTTTCCGGTGCCTTTTATTTGCAGCTCATCATCAGGTTTATAAGGAGTTTGTCTTTTAACACATGGAGTATCAAACACACTGCTCAGCTTTATAGAGCTGCTGTAATCTGCAGGATAACAGGGGTGGACTATAGATGTGTCTGAACCCTGAGTCTGTAACATGCATAAAGAAAGAGAAAACATTAGATATTATATTCTGAACAATGTAACCGTTTAATCTAAACCAGGGTAAAAGTTTGCACTTAACCTTGATTAGATGTGCCAGCAGTCGGAGTAAAGCCTGGTCTTGTCCATAACACAGAAAACTGTGAGTGTAGATCTGGTAGTCTCGCCCGTACAGCCGCAGTTTCATCAGGTCATCCTTGTTCTCCACGGTCTGTTTCGTCACAAAGGTGATCTGAGTAGACGCTCCGCCAAAGTCCAGCGCACCAACTGTATCTCTGCCTGGAGTAATCCACTGACCCACAAAACCATACTGAAGAAACGGGCAGACAGAGAGAGGGTGCATCTAATCAATTGGTATTTTAATTACCCAAAATATATAATTGTATAGCAAAACAAAAAATCAGCCACTACCTTAATAAAATTCTCCAGCAGGTAGTTGACTGTGATCCATCCATAAGCTCCCTCATCTTGTCCAGTTAAGATAGAGGCTCCTTTAAAGCTGAACGGATAGCTCTTCAGTTTTTCTCCAACTTCTTTTAAGACCTCAGCCGACTCTTTGGGTTTAGAAATACTGTGCAAAAATATTATCTGCGATTAATTCCACCCTATTTAGTGCACTGATACTGTGGATGAACATGTGAAGTGAAGAGTCTTTACGATTTACAGTTTGTATGTCATAAAATGCAGTGCAGATATTGGGAAAGGTTATATAATGATCAACGCATCAGTGTGCATTCATCATTTGAACCGTGTTCAGACTCACTTCAGTAGCCTCATGCCTGCAGTGGCCCCCAGATACACGGGGGTAATCCTCTGTCTAGATTTCGGGATGCTTTTAGTGGCTTTATCCATGCATTCCTCAAGGCTACGTGCTGCTGCTCCTTTGATTCCAGCATAACTGGATATCCCTCCTCCTGGTTGAGGGTAAAAATTGTGGAAAAAGCTATTAAAATGTTTGTAATCTAACAGTGGAAGGCACAAGTTCAAGTTCAATGTATTTATATACAGTAGCTTGTTTCCAAAAGGCTACAAGGAGGCACAAAGTGCTTTACAAAGAAGATACAAACAAGCAGTAAGGACATAAAACAAAACAGCAATAGGCACAGAGTGTAAAAGAGAACATAAAAGATGTCAAATAGATTATACAAAACATTTTGCTTGTAATGCCTAAAACAAGAAAGTAACTGGCCCTTTAATTCCGCCTAAAAGATGCTACTACAGTTGACCACACTAAACAGGATTAAAAACAAGACCATTGGACTCCCGAGGAAGGAACTTATGCTTCAAACGACCTAGAAAATACACAAGTCTTTTATTTAGACTTACAAAATTGTTTGTAATGAAGCCAATTTTAATTCTAGTGAAAGCGCGTTCCAGAGGATGTTGGATGTTGAACTCATATTGACATCAGCTTAGTGGACAGTGCAAAAGTGACAGATAATCATAAGAGAGAGAACATGGGACAATTATTTAATGCAATGCAATTTAATGCAATGCTGGAAATGAATTAGGAACGCTGTGTTGTTCGTCTCATTTACATTTCTGCAGATGTTTTCACCTGAAGCAATGTGAGAACAACAGAAGAATAACAATGAGATAAAAAAGCATGACCAATTCAGAACTATATTTAGGAAGAATAAATGAAGACAAATCCCTTTCAATAATTAATTTTTTACATCTGAGTTCTGCAATATCTGATGTTTGAGTTTTCTCTGTATTTGATATTAGGGTAAGTGTCAATCTTACACTTCTTGTGTATCTTCTTTCTTTCTGTTACCTCTACAATCAGAAAATAAAAATTATGTATACTATTTACTCACCCTTCACACGACACTCGCTGTGCTGACTGACAATGCCAGTGCCGTTCTGCTTATCTGCTGGCCATTTGTAGATAAACATGGACGTATGAGAGGATCCAGCATCCAGAACTATTCCATACTGGAGACAAACACATCTGTTAACATTTTCCACAAACTTGTCTTGGATTCATTTAGGGCTGCACCATATGTCACTTCAGCATAAACAATTGAAATGTGCACATCCGCAATAGTCACATCTCAGGATGGGGATTATTGGTGACCACAATTTAAAATGCATGTGGTTTTTTTTTACTTAGTTGCAAAGTTTAGCCATTGTATAGTTAAAGTTCAAAATTTTCATGAGCTTTTTTTCTGTTATGATGTTAACATAAGTGAGTTTAAAGCATGAGGGTGCAAGAAATTATATAATTTTAGCATTAACAAAGATTAATTGCATTTAATTTATATATAGTGAAGAGCTACTTTACATTGGATAATTCAATGTCTAACTACTTAAGACTTGGAAAAAATATATAAAGCACAATTTGTTTTTCTGTTTTATATCCTTTGTTTTGTATTTATCTAGTTTATTATATTTTATGCAGATGGATGGAATGTTTATTTGAAATATTCAGTGGTGTCAAGTAACAAATTACAAATACTCAAACTACTGTAATTGAGTAGTGTTTCTCAGAAATTGCAACGTAGTTTTAAAAGTGTGTACTTTTACTTTCAATTGAGTACATTTTTAGTGCTGTATGGGTACTTTTACTTCACTGCTTTTCTTCGACCTTGATTTTTTCTTATCTATGTGGATTGGCTAAGCAGAATATTCAGTCTTGTGATTTCTGTCCAACCAAATCACACATAGAAAGTAAATCGCATCATGTGGAACTACCTGAATACATGGGTGATGCAGCCCATAAATGCAGGAAAACATTTAAAAGCATTAAAAGAGCCCAAGAAGATGTCCTTAAACAAATGGTCTTAAAAAAGAACTAAATGCACTACAGAATGTTATCAGCTCTAGTTTAATTTATTTTAACTTGCAAAAAAAAATATTTTTTTTTTTTCTTGAGTTCACTTTTATTTTATAAGAGCTTTCACGTGAATGATTTGAATGCCTGCTTGTGACTATCGTTATTCCAATTCATAAGCAGCAAGTCAACACTGTCACTAAAGCTGCCAGCTGAGATTCAATGGCTGCCTGCCACATGCCAGGCAAATTTTTTGCTCGACACATAAGAATTTTTTAAAATTCATATCTCATCGGAAAGCTGAAACGTTCTTTTGGCTTGACAGCTTATTAGTGTGAGTATTTTACTTTATAACAACAACAACACAATAACAAAAAGAAGTCATTACCATGAGCTGCGCTGGTTCTTTAAAGTCTTCGGTATTAACGACGAGCAAAAGGATGCCAACAAATGAAACAAATAGACCTGCAATAATAGTACATGTTTGCAATTGCATTTTAAACTGTTGTAAACTAAAATTAAAAGGACACTTGCTGACCGACTATTGTCGGAATTTAGCCGGGTGTATCTGGTGTTCGGGTAGGTTAACTAAACTAACCTGTCAGACCTGCTCGTCCATGCAAATAGTAGCCTATGTAGAAGCAGAAGTTAATATAATTTATTTTTAAAAAAATATATTTGCTTTGATGAAAACGTTTATTCACGTTTTTTACGTGAACATGTCTGAAAGGGTAAAAACAGTAGATTGTTTGTGCAAAGTACTGTAAATTATAGACACACAATCAATGTTAGACATGCAAGCAGACATTAATCTGACACTAGGTGACGCTGGAGCTATAGCCTATAAGTAAGCAACCTTACAATATACTTCAGTCAGTGTTTTAAGGAATATTTAGTGGCTTTTTTAGAGGCTACATGCAGATTTAAACACATGTTTTACAAGACAAGTGAATACTTAAGATGTCTATCGGTGATCTAGAACAGCAAATTTTTCTGTTAAATTATATTTTTCCTTGCACTGAGTGGCGCATTATGCATTCACAATGGTATAAACCGTTATGGAAGGGGGATCATATATATATATATATATATATATATATATATATATATATATATATATATATATATATATATATATATATATATAAAACATATTATACATTTTTTTTAATTTTTAATATTTAAGATATAGATAAAAGCTTACTGTTAAAGGGCTGACCGCTCATACATGTTGTTTTGTTGTTCTTTATGGGGAATCAAGCATTAATTAGGGGGATTCGAAAAAAAAACCTGAATCTACAGAAAAAATAACTATAGAGAGTCTTTTGACTTTCAGTGCTAGGGCCCCATTTTGAATAAAGGGCCCCCAAATAAAAGAGAAATACTAAAGAGAAACGAACATCTTTAGTAATTTTTATTAAAAATGGGACATGATGTTTAATTGCATCTTTGTTTTCCACAGAGATGAAGAATTAACGATCAAATGGATGTTTGACAGATTGTTTTCTGATTTTTTTTAGAAGAAACGAGGGGGTAAACAGGAACATATAAATGTGTATTGTTATTTTATTTATGTATCTTTACACACACAATTTGTTACACTCTCAGAAATAAAGGTACACAAGCTGTCATTTGGGTCCGTATTAATATCTCAAGGGTACATATTTGTACCTTAAAGTACAAAAGTGTTCCTCTTAAATTATTTAGGTATTAATATATACTTTTGAGGTACCAATATGGACCCTTTAGGTACAAATGTGTACCTTTTGGAAAAGGTACCACCCCAGTGACAGCTTGCATACTTTTTTTTCTGAGAGTGTAGGATATGGTTTGTGTACCAAAACCATGGCTAGTTTGTAGGAACAGTTTAACTACAATAACCTTTTTGTTGTTGTTTTTGTAGTAAAACCATGGTTAATTTAAGTATTCCAAAAAAAAAAAAAATAATAAAATGGGTGGTAAACAAACACATTTTACTTTTAAATGAAAAATTTGCCTCAATCTCATGTCACATGTGCAATCACATTAAATGTTATCTTTTTCATTTGGGGCATGTTGGATAAAAAGAAGAAAAAGTTAAAAATAGAATGGATTGTTTCCTGTGTTGACATATTTCCTTGAATCTGAAAACAGGCAAGACAAAGGGCTCGTCTTTTTAAACAGACTTGTATCTTTAATCATACTCTAACAAACATGAACTCGATTTTCTGCCTGCACTTTTGTAGCTGGCAACACTGAGGGAGAAACATTCTTATTATAGAGAGCATTCGATTAGATACAAATCTATGTAACACAAGAATAATAATCAATATTTGCTAACCATCAATATTTGTGCACTTGCATATAGCTTTAACAAAGCCCAAAACATTCAATGTTATTCAGATAAAATACAAAATATCTGACAGAAAAGTAGTAAGCACATTCAATTATTTATATTAAAAAAACAGAAGCAAGCAGTTTTCAAATCAAAATCATTATTTGCACAGCTACATTTGAAAGATATTTCTTTTGCATGATTTCAGTGCCTTGACTTTGTATTACAGCAGATGAGACACATCATAAAGAAAGTCTATAAAAACGTTGCATCAGTGTATAAATGTGTAAGGCACAGAATTGTATCTAAAAATATACATTCAACATTATGAGAAGAGAAAACACATCTATAAGGCTGTTTACGCTAGGGCACTTCATGCATTTTTTTCTCATCAGATGGCTACAGTATCTAATTATGAGAAAGATTGGTGTAAATGCCCTCAGAAATGCATTCGAGACGGATCCCAGCAAACAGTTGTGTGTTTAAAAGACGTCTAATAGACATCTAAATGTAGACAGCTTGGCTAAAACAAGGCTTGGGCTGTAAGGAAAATCTAATAGACATCTAAGTATAACCCAAAACTACACTAGTCGCCAGTAGACTTAATATGTGTAGTCATTCATTTCTGTTTATTTGATGACTAGTCTAGTTTTGGCCTATTAGACGTCTATTAGATTTTCACTGACAGACCATATTTAGCCTTGTTTTAGTCAAGACTATGTTAGATGTCAATTAGACATCCATGAGACGTCTTCTAAAAGTAAAAAATGCTTGCTGGCACTCAAACTACTCTGACACATTCCAGATAAAACTGGACAGTTCTAAATGCCTCTTGTTGTTGAAACTACTTATGTACACATTTTCTTCTCCCAAAATGTAAAAAATAAATAAAATGTGAGAGCGTGCTTTATTACGGTGTCAGATATAACAGCGCAAATACAAGACACCCAACAACAATGCCACAGATGGCAGGTTGGGATGTTTGTTTTGCTTTATTTTTTACATTTAATTTTATTTTTGACCATTAAATGACAAAATTGGAATGTCTAAATAATATCCATTCGAATGACAGCATTACCAGCAGAGATGCATCATGCACCTTTAGCTCCTCTATGAACAGAGTGTAAAATAATAGAAAAATATAGCATTCCTTTCATTTACAAAGGCTGTGAGAGTAAAGGTTATGCACAAATTAATGAAAATCCATTACAGTTTTCTGTCAATACGGTAGAAATACATGTTTTATTTACAGATGTTTAGTGAACAGTATTCATGTAGCCCACTTTGTGCACTTGTGGTGGTGTTTTACTGGAGCATGAGTAAAAAAACCTCCAGTAGCCTACGTATGAAATGATTTGTAAGCGAAATAACATGTATAATTTGAATTTTTGTAAATATATATGTAGAAAGTGTATCTTAAGCAAGGTAACCTAGTTATATTTGCATATAGCAGTGTTTCTCAACCACACTCCTGGAGAACCACCAGCTCTGCACATTTTCCGTGTCTCTTTAACCAAGCACACCTGATCAGATCATCAGCTCATTAGGAGAGACTGAAAGATCTGTGATGGATGTGTCGGACAAAGGAGACATCCAAAATATGCAGTATTGATGGTCCTCCAGGAACGTGGTTGAGAAACACTGGCATATAGCATTGGATTTAAATATTGGATATATCCGTTTAGCAGAGACACATTTATGTGGGCAATTATAAATGGAATCTAATAAATACAAGGCTCTGATCAGAGAAAGCGCATGAATTGACAAGGTGTGAGATGAAAAAAAAAAAAATTTGCACTAATAAATCCATGACCTGTTTTCTGTCTCATTACACGGGTATTCATTCACACATACACTACTGACAATTTTAGCCTACCCAATTCACCTATACCACACGTTTTTGGACTGTGGGGGAAACCGGAGCATCTGGAGGGAAACCCATGCAAACGTGGAGAGAACATGCAAACTCCACACAGGAATGCCAATTAATCCAGCTGAGGCTCAAACCAGCGATCTTCTTGCTGTGAGGCGACAGCACTACCTACTGCGCCACCGCGTCGCCTCTTACAAAACTATAATACATATAAAAAGTGCTTCATAAGAAATGGATTATTGATGAAATGTTTTTTATACATCCGTGTAGTTTTCAGAGTACTGTAAATGAAAGAATCCTCACCAAGGACTGTGCATAATGATAAACTGTACATAAGTACAAATATAGCGCATTATCAAACGACATCATCTTTGTTTTTATGGCAGATTGCTCGAAACAGAAAGATTAGTGCTGAGGTAAGGAGGATGGAAAAGAGGAAGATGAGAAAACTCCAGGCTCCTGAGCGCAGCGATTTCTTCAGTGCAACGTTTTCGGCAGGCAGCAGATTGCTTAGGCTTAGCATGTAGCCGAGGGACCAGCCGACAGACGTGTCTCCTGCCTGCGAACCAAAGCTACATGTTGACATCAGCTTGACTTAGTGGAGCGTTTATTCACAGAGCTTAAAAGTTCTAGTTCATCCAAAAATGAAAATTCCTGTCATCCCTTACTCACCCCTCACATTCTACAAACCTGTTTGTTTGGGTTTCGTATGTTGAACAAAAAAGAAGACATTTTAAAGAATGCCTCAAACCAGTAAAGCCATTGACGTCCATAGATTTTCTTTTTCATTCTATGGGTGTCAACATTCTTCAAAGTATCTTCTTTTGTGTTTAACAAAAACAAAACCACTTGAAAATTTACTCGGCATTGTTCATTTTAAGGTGAACTATAAACTTAAATCTGCAAACCTTTATTTCTTTAATGTGCTGAGTATACATTTTTTAAGATAATTATAGTTCAATGTAGCAGTAAAATGTTATCATTGGGAAATTGAGTGGAAGTTGAAATGCGCTCTCTATTTGACAGGCTGGAAGGGGTTAATAACAGTAAGACTATGTATGTGAAGCGTGCATTCAGCAGGTAAACAGACTAGTTTTTTTCTACCTTCTTCTGAAAGGAGATTTGTGGGAAGGTGCGATCGTTGAAACTGTATCCATTGACCAGGAGTGCCCGCACAAACACAGAGACCGCACAGTAGTCCTTCAGACGGCTTTCATTATCCTGACTCTTCTTTCCCATCTAGGGCAGACAGAGTTTAGTAGAAGAGGTCAAGGATTTTACGTATACATTTAGTCACATGTATACTATATATATAAAAAGCACACACATATATATATATATATATATATATATATATATATATATATATATATATATATATATATATTGTCACTATGAAATCAGAAGTAAATAGTTTTTTATAAAAACAACTGCCTTATTTATATTTTACAGTACTTATAGTCATTATTAAAGCATTTATACGTGCAATTAAAGCTTTGTTATTCCAAAAAATCTATTAAAGTACTAAATGTCTAAAATTCAAGTAAAAGTAGAAACTTGTCAGAGCATGTTTTATTGGCAGGTTGGGATGTTTATTTATTTATTTTTTCATTCCATTTTATTTTTGACCATTAAATGATAAAAGTAGAACGTTTAATTAATAATCAATCAAATGCCAGCATTAACAGCAGGGATGCATCATGCGGCTGTTAATGGAGAAGAAAAATTATAGAAAAATATAGCATTTCTTTCATTTACAAAGACACAATGTTTTGTTTTTGGAAGTGTATGTTATATACGATGTTTAAAATTAAAGGAAAAGCAGAAACAACCAAGTTGAATTCAAACTATTATTGAAAACTACAATAGTTAAGTAGTGATTTTAAAATAACACTGGTCTTATACCGTATTTGGATAAAATAAAACCAAATGAATCAAATCACATTTACTCATTATGGTGGCTTGAGAAAGCTGTTATACTGTTACTCGGTCCTCGAAAACAAACGTATCTCCTCCTAGGTCGTTCATGCTACAAGGCTCAAATTTGGTCAAAATGTGCCTTCTGCATTCAAGATTGTTACTATACCTACTCATGCCAATCAGAAAATGTTAAATATTACATTTTAATAATCTTGGCATCTTAAAAAATTATACAAGCCCCAAAACTGAGTTACCATTTAGCAACTGCTTAGCAACCTATAGAAATGCCATAAACATTTTAGCAACTGCCTACCAACCACTCTGCTTCCTGCTAACTGCCAATATCAATCCTAGCGTAATCACATTGGCTTTCTCAAGCCAACAACAAAATTCATCAACAAACTTTAGGTACTAGTATAATATTCATCTGCTAAAAAAGATTTAATTCAACACATTAGGAATATACAGTTGAAGTCAGAATTGTTCGCCCCCCCTGAATTTTCACAGTATGTCTGATAATATTTTTCTTCTAGAGAACGTCTTTTTTTTTATTTTTGTAAGAATAAAATTAAAATTAAATTTTTAAAAACCATTTTAAGGTTGTTTATGTTTAGAAATGTATTGAAAAAAATCTTCTCTGTTAAACTGAAATTGGGAAAAAAAATAAACAGGGGGGCTAATAATTCAGGGGAGTTCATGATTCTGACTTCAACTGTAAGTTAAATATTGTCTTCTTAGACTTATATCTTAAAATATGAGACCAGGAGACTTTCAATAATTGGTCGATTGGTGAGATACTCTGGAGAGAAAGTCATCTCCGAATAGCAGGGCTCGAAATTAGTTCAGCGGGTCAGTACCTCCTGCAAGCTCATATTGCAGATCACACGAGCAGCGTCCTCTAAATGAGCTGGAGTCCAGATTTTGATGCCTGTGGCTTCCTGAAGAAAGGAATGTGTGTAGAAAAATGCTGAAAATGCCTGTGAGGAGAAAAAAAACAAGAAAAAATGAAAGTGAAAAGTGATGGATAGAGAGAGATTGCATAATCATAATAATGACACATGCAACTATGACACACAAGTGCCCAGCAGATAAATGTATGATTTATTTTAATGCTTCAAGCTGTCCCACTTAATAACTGCTTGCATGTCACCACAACCATCCCCCACCAGACTGAAATGCTGCCTAAGGCTTGAAAAATGAAGGAGCAAGTTAGATATAATGCCAATTGATTAAGAAAACAGCGAAATTCATTGATTTTTTTAAAGTCAATAATATGTGATTTATGGTGAATTTAGAAGACTTAAGGGATGTTGTTAGGTATGACATGAAATGCATTTTCATTTAGCCAATCATGAAATGGAACTGTCTGTTTTATAATAGGCTTGATAGCAACTCTTACCATGAAGTTTCCAGTAATGTTGGGCTGAAAGACTCCATCAAAAGAGCATTTGGAATAAGAGCAGCTGCTAAAGGAGAAAAGTTGAGACACATTTCCAAGACACTGATTGTAGTTTCCGGTGCCTTTTATTTGCAGCTCACCATCAGGATTGTAAGAAGTTTGTTTTTCAACACATGGAGTATCAAACACACTGCTCAGCTTTATAGAGCTGCTGTAATCTGCAGGATAACAGGGGTGGATTATAGATGTGTCTGAACCCTGAATCTGTAACACACATAAAAAAAGAGAAAACATTATATATTAAATTCTGAATAATGTAACAGTCTAAACTAAACCAGGTTTAAGTATTGCACTTAACCGTGATCAGATGTGCCAGCAGTCGGAGCAAAACCTGATCTCGTCCGTAACACAGAAAACTGTGAGTGTAGATCTGGTAGTCTCGCCCGTACAGCCGCAGTTTCATCAGGTCATCCTTGTTCTCCACGGTCTGTTTTGTCACAAAGGTGATCTGAGTAGACGCTCCGCCAAAGTCCAGCGCACCAACTGTATCTCTGCCTGGAGTAATCCACTGACCCACAAAACCATACTGGAGAAATAAGATAGGGAAATGTAGGGTAATGGCTGGTAGCAGAGCATTATTGAAAAAAATCTAGACATTGTAAGATACTCAATATGGCTAACTTTATACCTTAATGTAGTTCTCTAGCAGGTAGTTGACTGTGATCCATCCGTACGCTCCCTCCTCTTGTCCAGTTAAGATGGAGGCTCCTTTAAAACTGAATGGGTAGCTCTTCAGTTTTTCTTCCACTTCCTTCAAAACCTCAGCTGACTCTTTGGGTTTAGAAATACTGTGTGATACGACAGAAACCAATATTTGTTATCTCCATCTTGGACAATTTTATTTCCTCTGTACCTACACATTGGGGCACTACTGCATTTTACCTGAAAAATACAGACTTTGTATATACTGTACGAACTGCATTTGTACACTGTACAGTACACACTGCACACAAAAGTCTGGAGTGTAAATTTATTAACGGTGCCATACAATGCATTTATTCAGTATGATTAATTGTTCTCTAAGATAAACATACTGTAGAAAGTGTGTGGCTGAGGTAAGTGCAAAAACTCTCCAGACAGCCTTCAGTTCTATATGCCCATTTACAACCCTAGAATGAAAATCTTGATTTTGACCTTATTTGGGGGGGTCATGAATATTAATGAGCTCTGCTTTCATGCTGCTCTCAGCTCATATCTCTGACCCTCACACAGCATGATGTACTCTGAAATACATAAGTGCAAAATAATCATACTTCAGTTGTCAAAAAGTTTTCAACAAACTGAATAGATGCCTTGTCAAATGACAATTGTTTCAATTGAATTAGATAAGAGGTTCTTATTAGGAACAATCTGTCGTAAACTAAGTCTGCTTTTCCATTACTGCTCCTGAGTTATGTGTTGTGGATGAAATATCGGCTAAATTGTAAATATAACTTATACCTTATATAATTATAATATATCATAAAAGGGATAGATACTGCAGGTGTATTAAGAGTTGTATTTTGTGGGTTTAACATATCTGAAAACATAGACAGGAAATAACTTTAACTTCTATGTACAGTAAATAAATGATATTTTTTAGTTAATTGCCATCTATTAGCTCCATTAAAATCACAGTAAGAGCTGAGTGATATGACACAACGCATAAACGTGTTAAACACTTGAAATTTACATGTGTCTGTTACCTTATTACAAAAGTACAACGCAAATTTTGCAGTATATACATTAAACATACAAAAGATATATTTAAAAAGACCTTATGCCACAAGGGTAGCGCTGAATAAAGTTAAAAACTTTCCTGAATTTTGCATTCCATGAGTTGTAAACAGATCAGATAACTCATCCGTGGCCATGCATGGCTGCCTGTTTTATTGTTCCTAAAGGCTTATTTATACTCCTGCATCAAGTGCATGCATATGCTCTGGCGCATGCTCTGGCATATGCTATGCTGATGCGCACCTCTCAAAAAATGTAACTACATGTCGCAACGACGCATATCAGTAGCTCTGTGATTGGTCAGCTTGGTAGCGTTGACGAGTGTGGGTGAGAGCCGTGCAAACTTGTTGGAGCGAGTGTTTACAAGTGTTGAGCCCCGTAAAGCAGCGTTTCCCAACAGGGGGGTCCTGGCCCACAAGGGGGCCTCAGCAAGCTCTGTGGGGGATTGCGTCATATATTTTTTACAAATTTTAGTAGTGCACAAAAAAAAAAAAAAATTATCATGTTGCCTAATTTTATCCCCTGGCTGACCAAAAAAATTTACAAATTTGTAATTCAGACTCCACAAAAAAGACTCACTGATTAGCCCTCAGCAGCTAGTAGTCATTACCCAAGTATACTGGAACCAGGATGAGGAAGCTCCAAACATTTCAGGTCACAGCGCTAGCAATACTGGAAACACCAAATTAATTACCTAAACTATGGTTTTATTTAATTTTCTCAAAGCAACGAGTCCCTGACCCAGCCACAGTGCGTTATCTGTGCCAAAGTTTTTGCTAACGGATGCATGATACCGTCTAAATTAATAAGACATTTGCTGACAACTCATCCTCAATACGGCAAGGTGTATCCAATACAAATGGCCTACTAATTTTTTGTTTTTATATTTTACATTAGGCTATCATTTTTGCATAAACATATCTAGATATAGTAATAAATAAACCACTTTTTTTGACATACCTAATGCAAACTTCTATGAGCGATAAAATAATTAAATGTGGAGGGGGGCCTTACAATATTTTGAAGGGGAACAGAGTGTCTCAGGCAAAAAAAGGTTGAAAACCACTGCCATTTAGGAGCTCCAGGTGGAAAGTTTTGTTTTCTGTTTACCTTATGATTAAAGTTGTTGCACATCTGCCGGTTCTCGCCTCAAAATGAGTGAGTTTGAGCCATGTGTACATTAAGGTAGCGTTCAGAAAAAACAAAACAACAGCGAAGAAACAGAGGAACATAAAAACCTCACTGTCAGCTAGCGTTTCAGAAGGGTTATTGCAGTTATTGTCACGCCGATCACTCAACGCAGAAGTATAAATAAGGCGTTAAAAGATCCTGTTGTGCTATTGGGGGCATGCTGAGAACAGTAGAAGCAGAGTGAGGCTGGTGGCATGAGAGTTAACGAGTGTCACCTATGTGCCACACAGGTCTCAAGTCTCACGGAGGAATGTAAAAAAAAAAAAAGTGGAATAACGAGAGAACAGGCCTGGAACTATATGTGCTTGTGTTTGTGTGTGCGGCAGTTTTTCTGAGGGGCTGCTGCTTATGTTTTCATCTGTTGTTCATTGAATTATTAAATGTTTAAAATGTTCGTCGGTTCTTCAACTCTTTCTTCCCATTGGCTAGAAAAACATCAAACCTTATTACACCCACATACATAGGAAATATAAGCTGTGTTATACTTCGAAAATAAGGAGAACATTTTTTTGTTGGTGACGCAGTGGATTAATAAATTTATTAATATATTTATATATATATATATATATATATATATATATATATATATATATATATATATATATATATATATATAAAGAAAAGCAAAGATTATGATATTTTATTGCATTTTTAGTCATTATAAATCTATTTTAATAATGCCAAAACTGAATTTTCAGTAACATCACTCCATTACTATTTACTGTCACGTGATCCTTATACAGTTTTAGTAGAAAAGTTATATAGGACATCTAAAGCTGAATTAAGATTCGGACATATACAAGCAGAAGCTCTTGAGTTTTCTGACTCACTTTAGTAGTCTCATGCCCGCTGTGGCCCCGAGATACACAGGAGTGTGTTTGTATCTAACTGTTGGAATCTCCCTCATGGCTTTATCCATGCATTCCTTAAGGCTTCTTGCTGCTCCTCCTTTGACACCAGCATAACTTGAGATCCCACCTCCTGGTAGAGAAAGTGAGTGAGGAGGAAAGGGGTCATGTCATCCCAAGAATAAAATGAATCATACAGCTTTTCCTCATGACTGAACTCTACATGGGCAAAGAACTATCGGTTCCTTTTTCATTATCTAAGATAACAAGGACTCTTGACTACCAACAAGACATTCTGGGTGCCTATTCCAGATGTTTCCGTAGATCTCCAATGATCAGCAATATTTGAGGGGTACTGAGAGTTTAACATCCTCATTCTGTGATTGTCAGATCCTTAGAGATCACTGAAAATACCATAGTGATGAAATTGTAAAAGGGCAAACTTAAGGCACCACCGCATTAGAGGAAATGGCCAAAATAGTGTCCATACTCAGCACTCTTGAGTCATAGCATTCTGAGTGAGCTACAGAGCTAAAATATAATTCATTTTAATACATTTATATACACAAAGTAAAACTTTAAGAAGTGTGTTGCACTCTGAAACTAAGATTATGGTAAATAGTATAAAGTATTTATAAATATTATCAAAACATCAAATGATGACAGAAGTTTGCAGTTTAAAGCATTACAAGAGGTTTTAACTGTCTTACATCCCTGTTGTGCTGCACTTTCCCTTTTAATCTTATCGACTGACATTTACAATTATTCTAACAGACATTTTAATCCAAACGGACATCCAAATGAGGAAGAAGCCATTTATCATTAAACACTCACCCTTTGCATGGCACTCGCTGTGCTGACTGACAATGCCAGTGCCGTTCTGCTTATCTGCTGGCCATTTGTAGATGAACATGGACGTATGAGAGGATCCAGCATCCAGAACTATTCCATACTGAAGACAAACACATAAGAAATTTTCACAATCTTGTCTTGGTTTAATTTCATAGGGCTGCACAATATATCACTTCAGCATCGAGAAATACATTTCTTAATCACCAAATAAAAAAAATATTATGTTTTCTGAAGCATACTGAAGACTGCTGATGGCAATTTCACCTTTCATCATAGTAATGAATTACCTTTTTTAATACAGTTGAAACCAGAAGTTTACATACACTGTATAAAAAGGCACATAACCATTTCAAAAAAGTCAGATGTTAATGTGACTAAACTTTTTCTCTTTTAGGAAAGTTAGGATTGTCACATTTGTTTCTGCAGAATAACGAGAGAGATATGTTTTGAGAAAATGTTATAACTTTACTTGTAAGTCAAGTTGACATACAATAAGATTATTATGCCTCTGAAAAAGCTCAGATGATGGTGTCAAGGTTTTGGAAGTTTCTGATTGGCTAATTGATAACATTTGAGTTAATTGGAGGCACAACTTTAGAATAGTATTTAAGGAAAACCTCAAACACACTGCTTCCTTTTGTGAAAACATGGGAAAATCAACAGGCCAGAATCAACAACAACAACAAAAGCCAGATTACAATTTGCTAAATTACACTGGGAAAAAAGAATAGTTTTTGGGGACATGTCCTGTTGTCTGATGGAACTAAGATTGAACTGTTTGGCCATAATGACCAGTGTTACATTTGGAGGACAAAAGGGAAAGCTTAAAAGCCTAGGAACACCATCCCAACTGTGAAGTATGAGGGCGGCAGCATCAGGTTGTGGGGCTGTTTTGCTGCAGGAAGGACTGGTCCACTTCACAGCATAGATGGCATCATGAAGAAAGAACATTATGTAGAAATACTGAAGCAACATCTCAAGACATCAGCCAGGAAATTAAAACTTGGCCACAAATGGGTCTTCCAAACACACCATGACCCCAAGCATACTGCCAAATTAGTTCAAATGTGTTTTAAGAACAACGAGTGAATGTTTTGGAGAGGCCATCACAAAGTCCTGATCTCAATCCTATAGAAAATTTGTGTGCAGCAGAGTTGAAAAAGCTTGTGCAAGCACGACAAATCTGACTTAGTTACACCAATTCTGTCAATGGACTAAAATTCCTTCAAACTATTGCAAGAAGCTTGTGGAAGGATACCCAGAACATTTGACCAAAGTTATACAGTTTAAAATCAAATCTCAAAAATAACAAGGACATGTATGTAAACTTTTGACTCTCTAGAAATAAAAAAAATTAAAAATTCTCTCTTTATTATGTCAATTAGCAAATATAAATAATTTAGGTAATCCTAATGGAACTAAAATAGTAAACATTTAGTATAATTTACCATCAGACATTTTTAAAAATGGTTGTGTTCCTCTTTTAGAGTGCATGTAAACTTCTGGTTTCATCTGTTTATTGCAATAAAACAACTTTGAATTAATTAATTCATTCATTCATTCATTTTCGTTTCAGCTTAGTCGCTTATCAATCAGGGGTCGCCACAGCGGAATGAACCGCCAACTTATGTTATCCAGCATATGTTTTACACAACGAATGCCCTTCCAGTTGCAAACCAGTTCTGCCCATACATTCTTGCATTCACACCCACACATACACTACGGACAATTTAGCTTATTTTATGCACCTATAGCGCATGTCTTTGGACTGTGAGGGAAATCTGAGCACCCGGAGGAAACCCATGCCAACACAGGAAGAACAAGTTTCTCTTGCTGTGGGGTGACAGTGCTACCCACTGCGCCACCATGTCAACAACTTATATTTAAAAGGATAATATTTGACAATATGGCTAAATAATCAGTTAAATACAGACTTTGTGAACATATGAGACTTCTTTAAAAACATTTTTTTTTTAAATCTAATGTAAAAATAAAATAAAAACAAATTAATTATACTTAAAATGAACAAATACTAATAAAATCAATCTGCTAATTAATTAGAAATGTATTCATTTTCATTTATTGTTATTTTATTATTGTTATTATCATCTTTCAATAGTTCTTTGTTGATGTGTCTAATCAGTCCGCTGTTTTATTCCAATCACAATATCACAAAATATTGAGCGACACTCAAATATTTAATAAATGTGTAGATTTTAATCACTTATTCACACAGCAAACAGACCAAGTTACAACTCGCATATTCTGTAGCTGGTGCAACTGGCTCCAGGTAAATGACTTTGTTGTTGCAGAGAACAGGGTGTGTACTTGGCCATTACCCTATGGGAACTACATTACACATCATTTTCACAGAGGCACTGTTCCTGCACTGATTCACTTAGGATTACAATATCGTATATTACACTGATAAATGCAATTAAATGTAGCTTAAAAAGTATCTGCATCTTCTACTTTTTTAATGCTTTTTCTTCATTTTAGATTATTCAGGCTTCTTTCTAAATTCATTCAAGACTGAATGTTATTCAAGCTAACATGACTCGCCTAAGTAGATTTCCTTCAACGCTACTTTGAATTAAAGTGTTTGCTCAATGATCATAAGTGTTTTACAACCTAAAGATCAAGAAAGTGTCATTTACATAAGCCATCTCTCACTCTAGTAAGTCACCATCCATTTCTTTTATCTTATTTTACACACACCTGCAGTAAAGGCTTCCTAGAGGAGTGTGTATTTTGGCAAGACAATGCCTGAGCCCTATTCATTCATGCAAACCAAGATAATCCCTTCCAATTATATATCTTGCACTCCACACTTTGCCTACAGTTTGCATACTGGCATTTTAGCTTTGTGTAATAGCAGCGGCTCTGAAAATTGTGTTCGACAGGTGACTCAAAACATGTTCGGGTTTGCCTTTTTATGTGTGATTCCACAACACTCAGTTTTGCCGTTAGTCACCTGTGCAGTATGTGTTTTATCAGGGGTTTATCCTGAAGCTAAACAGAATTGTCAACATGCGCTCTAGGCATATTAAGAGATTTAACAGTAATGGGTGGGTACTAGTTGCACAATGTCACAATAAGATATGAAAATATTCCTAGACATTCATAACCACAGAGAACTACTCTCCCCTTTCTAAGAAGGAAAAGAGATTAAAGGGTTGAATCAAAACAGCTGGGAAATGCTGGCAGTTAGGCCTGTTATGATATCTATTTTTCATTGTGCGATATATTGCACCAAAATATGTAAAGATGAACAATATTATTGTCATTTTAAGACTATTTTATGCCACTCATTTTTTAATGCCAGAATGACAATATAATAGCATCAAAATTAGGCATTGGAATCAGAATGTAAAAAAATTTAACATCTTAAAAAAATAATTAATATAATGAAAAATGTTAACAAAAAAATGTACAAGGTAAAAATAACTGATCTATTGTCAGTTGTTAGACACCCACATGAAAATAAGTAATTTATAGTAGATACTAGTATTCTTTTTAGCATACTGATACTGACACCTCCGAGCTAAAATGTTGCTGATATTATTTATTTATTTTTGTAAGGCTGATATATATTGGCTCACCAAATTGATTGAGGTCATGTCCATGTGTAGTGCAATAAGTCAATATATTGATTATTGTGACAGGCCTACTGGCAGTACGAACCAGCTTTTTGTGTTTTATATGAATTTTAAAATGGATCTATACATCCATCCTCCATATCTGTCTGTCTGTCTGTCCGTCCGTCCGTCCGTCCATCCATCCATCCATCCATCCATCCATATCTGTCTGTCTATCTATCTATCTATCTATCTATCTATCTATCTATCTATCTATCTATCTATCTATCTATCTATCTATCTATCTATCTATCTATCTATCTATCTATCTATCTATCTATCTATCTATCTATATTCATAATTTCATATATATAAATTCAGCAATAGAGAAGAAACACAAAATGATTAATTTATCCTTTGAGGCAAGTTTTAATACAGAAGCTAATACAGGCATACAAATAGATGATGAGACATTGTCTTTAATCATTGGTCTAAACCATTTGGTTGATACAATCTTACTCAGTTCTTTGTCAGCACAATATTCTTGCAAGTGGCACATTTCAACCAGGCCACTGATTATAAACAGCAACTTAGTGTGTGTGATTACATTCAGAAATGCATACATTTTATAATTTTAACTTTAGTTACCTTTAAATGTATGTAGAATATAAAATGAAAATAGAAATGAATGAAACTTAATTATTCTGTTGGTTAGATTAAGTGTGTGTGATTATGACCAATAACTGTTACTCCGTTATGGGGAACTAAGTCATACAATAATAATCTTTAGTTGCAGTAAGTAACATTCTGGTCTGCGTGGCATATCATCAACAATGTTTTGAAAAGACAAAATTACATGCTGTTGAGTAATAATATACCCATCTTTCCTTTCTGAAAAAACAACTGGAACCTTCATAGAATTTTTAATGATTTTAATAATTATAATGGAAATGTAGTCGTAATAATAAATTGAATAGTATAGACCATTAAAAGGTGATAGTTTGTAATGTATTTATAGCATTTTAAAACCATTACAACGTCTGTAATGGTGTCTATTGTTTTACACACAATAGCTTAAAATTTACCCCAAACTCACTCTGGTAATGTCTTAACTCTTTAGTTTTATATTCTAGAAAACATCCACCTCTATTGCAAAGAGCTGTGGATACCTCGAATCTGATAAAACTAAATTAGAAGTCGTCAAAATCTGTTAACCCCTTGATTTTTCCGCATTTTGAGGCTAAAGTGTGATTGAACTGCTTTTAATGATACTCAAAATCACCCTGGTTATGCCTTAACTCAATAATTTTATGTTCTTCAAAGCTGCACATTTCCAACAGTGTCTCCAAATCTGATAGAGCACAATTAAAAGTTACCACAATCTCTCACCCTAAATGTTTGGGATTTTTTTAAAAATCCTAATTGTTGTTTAATTGATTTAATGTTGTACAAATTCACTCTGAAGTGCTGCCAAAACTTACCTTTCACATTTTGGCATACATTTTAATCCAAAATTATTACTCTGAAGTGAACAGGTGGAAAACAAAAACACTTAAGGACTTAAATAAAACTTAATCTTCCAAAAACCGCAACAAACTTCGCACTGTTCAGGCAGAACCGTACGTCACGGATCATGATAGACAACATCTGAGACTTCGAAATAATTAATCTATGACCACCACCGGAAACTAATCGATATAACGTCACCATTCTGATAAGAAGTGTTTCTCATGATAACGTGCTCAGTGAACTGGAAACACTCCCTTCCCCTCTGTGGGGTTTGCAGCCAGGCTGTGTGTGTCATAAATTAGAAAGATGTTATTTACCATAAAGCCTGGTGACCCTTTGATGTCTTCAGAGGGCAGGACGAGCAGAAGAATCCCGCCGACTGCCAGAAAGAGAGCCCCGGTGGCAGTAATGATCTGGCATTGCTGCCTGTTGCCCGTGGATACCATCTTCACTACGAGTTCCAGGCAAGGCAAATGACAGCGACGACATTCGCTGGAGCGTCTGGTAGCCTATATACTGCCGTGACGTGTGGCAGGCGGTAAAACCAGTGGGCACGGCACTGTATTGTTCTTCCTCATCTGTCCGCGGAGCAACAGGTTCTTGCTGTGAAACTGTTGGCGATAAGTCAGACTATTTATGTACTTCTTGAAGAAGTCTATTCAGAGTGTAATGAGACTCGTAAGTGTTGTTGCTTTTATCGCTATTGTAGCTTTATGTCTCTTAATAAATTTTATACTTCACGAACAGATCGATGAAGTATTTTAGAAAACTGTGACAAAAATGCAACGGTTATTTTTTAGTGGGTAGATGTCGTTTTCAGTCATTAATGAAAACATCCCTGCTGAAAAAAAAAAAAACAGCCAAAAACCAAGCTGGTTGTCTGGTTTTAGCTGGTCGACCAGTCTGGTTTTAGAGGGGTTTTGGCCATTTCCAGCCTGGTCTTAGCTGGTCAGGCTGGGAGATGACTAGCTAAAACCAGCTTGACCAGCCAAAACCATATGTCCAGCCTAAACCAGGGTGCTTAAGTTGGTTTTAGCTGGTCATTTTTCTGCCTGACCAGCTAAGACCAGGCTGGAAACTCCTCTAAACCAGGCCGATCAACCAGCTATAAACAGCCAACCAGCCTAGGCTGATTTAAGCTGTTTTTTCACTAGGGATGTCCTAGCAATTTTTTGAATCTTTGTAAGTTATAATTTTTAACTAAACTGAACCTGTTCAACATTTATGAACAAATATAAAAAGAAACACAAAATTATGAAACCTTTGTTTGTAATTGTAATGATTTGTATAAAACTTTCACAACTACATAACATTTTAAGTGCCCCAAATACCCCTAAACCTCCTTTCTTATACAAACCCAAATCAGAAAAAGATGGGACAGTATGGAAAACGCAAATTAAAAAACAAAGTAGTGAATTTAGTTTGACTTGTAGGCTATTTTATAGCAGACAACATGAACACAAAATATTTAATGTTTTGTCTGGTTAACTTTTTATGTCATTTGTAAATATTCATCCTTTTCTGTCATTCAGACTTCCAACACATTGCAAAAATAATAATAATAATAAAATTGGAACAGGAGCAATGTAGGGCTAGTATTTGGGTAACTTGGTAAAATAATGTGATTTGAAACGGGTGATGTCAACAGGTGATGTAATCATGATTTGGTACAAAAGCAGCATCCATGAAAGCTCTAGTCCTTTAGAAGCAAAGGCGGTCCAAGGATCAAAGTTGAACTACTGTGATATCTGAAAGAAAAGGAAACCCTATTTTAGTGTCCAGAGGCGACATCTGGAATATATCATCATACAGTGGAAATGTGTACTGTGGTCAGATGAATCACTATTTCAGGTTTTTTTGGTTAAAATGGACCAAAGAATAAAAGAATAAAAAAAATCATTTATACTGTTACTAGGAACAAGTCAAAAAGCCAGGGTCTGTAATGGTATGGGGTTGTGTCAGTGCCCTTGGCAAAGGTAACTTCTACTTCTGTGCTGGCACCAATAACTCTAAAAAGTAAATAGAGATTTTGTACCACATAATGCTGCCTTCTTTTCAGTGTCACCCATGCATATTTCAGCAAGACAATGCATAGTCACATTCTGAACACATTACAAAGTCCTGATTGCGGAGAAAGAGGATACAGGTACTTGACTGGCCTGCCTGCAGTCCCAACCTGTCTCCAAGAGAGAATGTGTGGCACATTTTGAAGTGTATAATGCAACAATGAAGATCTCGTACTGTTGCCCACCTTAAGACTTATTTGCAGGATTACACCTGAAACACTTCATCACTTAGTGTCTTCAGTCCCTAAAAGTCATCTACGATGTAGAGGTACCTGGAGGTACATTTCCATCTTCTACATTCTTTTGTCCATTTATCACTGAGCAGTCTTTCTCAATGGAACAAAAATATTGATAAATAACTTTTATATTACAAAAACCTGACATAGGAAAAACCTGAACCAAACACACACACACACACACACACACACACACACATGTGATGTAATGTTGACTTTGTTAATGCACTGGTTTTCTCTTCATGCCAACCTTTTGTTACAAAAAAAACAACACATTTTTGTGTAAAAGGTTCCAAACACAAACTCTGGAAATGATTTGAGCTAGTTGTAGAAGTTATAGCTTACCTGTATAGAGTTCAGACGAACATCTTTAGTTTTTTCCTTTACTGTTTGAGTGGTTAACACACATGTGAAATATGTGTGAAGAGCACACACGTCTATTTGTTATGAGTTGTCTTACAGGAAAAAGATAACTTGAGGTTTTCAACAATTCTTATCTGTGAATGCTGCAATAAAACCGAGTCAGGATGGTAAAAAAAACAAATGACAAAAGCATTAAAGGCGTACAGCATATCTCTGTTATCATGCAGAGCTCATACCGTAGACAAAAGCATTTAGCCTATTGGAACTACGGGCACACTCAGGGTCATTCATCAAAGAAAACAACTGTGCTTGTGTGCCCAGAGGATTTATTTCTTATTTATTAAAACAGGATGTGCATTATGCATTATAATTTGTAAGCACACTTACAATAACAAACATTAAACAGATATTAGAATGAGTAACATTACACTTATGTCCATCATTCATTTCAGACAGATGCATTATCTTTTGATATACATCTTTACATCACTACAGCCATTTTTCTGTTAGTTTAAAGATAAAAGCAATAGCCCAGGAGTAGATACAGTGCTCTGTGCATGACATAGACCCTTTCTTCTATATATTTTTCTTTCTGGCTTTCCCCCTCAGTCGCTATTTGCCCTTTGGAAAGAGAAGTCTTTGTAAGCAGCTGTCACCGCTTTATTCAGCCTCACAGCTTCAGGCTGCTCCGTATGAAGAAAGCCGCTGCTCATCCATATCAAACAGCACATACTCTGAACTGTGCTCCGGGTCCTGGCACATGTGGTTAACAATGAAGCACTGGTAGTTCCACAGTAGAAGCAGCACCATGCCACACAGGGCCAGCAGCGCCAGGCTGAGCAGCAGGAGGCGCTGTTTGTCCAGGCAGCATCGGTTCTGACAGGCCTCATCAGAGAGACTGGTGTACCTCCACAGAGATCTCTTCAACACGGGAGACAGAGACACGGCGAAAGCTTTTGTTTGTGCTCTGCTCATTGTATAGAGTACTCAGAGGTTTATACAAGCTGTTTGCTGTGAGGGAAAACAAGCGAACACAGAAATGAGGTGAATTTTGCGTTTCATTTTGACCGGGATTGGCTATTGTGCAAAACATAATCATTTCAGAATTTATCAGTGTTTCTGATTGAAAATAGAGAGACTACTACGTCGAATTTGGCTGTAACTGGTTGAAAATGAGAGAGACTTCTAACTTACATCTGAATATTTATTCAGTCGACGTTCTCGCGACCTTGCACAGCGTTCCCTAAAAGTTCCCTAAAGGTAATAATTAGTCAGAACCTTTACAGAACATTAGTGATGTTCTTAAAACGTTCTCTTTTAGTCATAAAATAACGTTCCCAGTATGATAAATTTACAAAGAGAACCTTTCTGTCATCGCAGAATAAAATAAAAAAAATGTGTGTTTTTATGGCCATTTGAAAGTGAAAGCTTCATCCCGCAGCACCAACGTTAATTCTAATAGCCAGCGCTCGTGGTCTTAAATTTAAAAGCAAACTTGTAAAACATGTCTCTGGGGGTCGATACCTGTCTTTGAGTCGATTTCAGCACTAGGTCTATTGAGAATCGAGGAATCGACTCAATCGTTAAGACCCAATCCTTAAGCAACGGCATTTAGTCTGGATGTCAACAAAACCGCTCATGCCGCTGTTTTCGCCAATTTCAGGTAAGTTTAGTCCCTAAAAGCACTCAAATATTACATACAACTGTTCCCGATTCTTTTCTTACTGGTAGTTGATATATTTAATTTATATCTAACTGATTTAATTATAATAACTGAATAATAAGAAAATAATAACGTTTTTGAATTTGGCGATGGGTTTTGCTGGAGACTGCGGCCTTGTGCCTACAGATGCATTTCCAGCAGTGCTTATATACAGTCATATTGCAGCGCTACTTGTATGTCGTGTGGGTGTAAGTAGTTTAAAGTAGTTTTCAAGCAGTAAGTTACTTGATGCGATCAGAATAGATTACATGGATAATTTTTAAAAATTATTTTACCTGCTCTGGTTTTGTTCTAAACTTCCCGGTGACAATATTTTGTATGAAATCTGAGAGATGTTTGTCTCTCCATTGAAAGTCTATTTACCCAAAATATGTTAAAACGAACCTTAATTCACATATAAAAGGAACATCAAACAGCGTGTTCACAGCATTCATATTTGAGCACAAAACCAATTATGTTTGATCTTGCACATCAAGCAGGTGTGACTGAGCTTCTGTTTATCTTGTTTAATGTTTATATGAGAATAAAAAGCTATATCAAAGCTGTTCACATACAAAGCTATTTGTGTCTCTTAAAGACATGGATTAAACTGCTTGGTCATTTGGATTTTTAAAAATCTTGTTACAAATGAGAAGCCTCAGAGATTGTGATGAATGGGCTCTATGCACAGCTAGAGTTTTAAAGCCAACGATGAGCTTCCGGTGAAAGTTTAATGTGATTATTTTCAATTTCAGAAGGTTCCTTTTACAGCATCGATGTTGTAATGTTATTACGATACATTCAGTTAAATAGACTTAAGCATTTATTTAGTTGTTCAAGCGAAAATGAAATGAAAGGCCATGTAACCACTAGCACCATCAGTAGCAACAGGCCAGCAAAGAAATTCCATTGAAAATACCGCGGTAAAATAAACAGTCATATTTTAAAGACATGACGGCTGGAAATTGAAATTAATGCCATTCTTGTTGTCCAATTATGAGACCCGCCTCATATCGTATATGTAACAGACAGTAAAGATTTCTAATTTTTAAAGAAATCAGATCTTAAACAGGACAGTTTTGTAATAGAAGAAGCCCTTGGGCTGCCTGGCTGAATATTAAAAGTCTGTGTGCATATAGCGCACAGACTTTACATTTTGGGACTGC